AGGAAAGGAAAGGAAAGGAAAGGAAAGGAAAGGAAAGGAAAGGAAAGGAAAGGAAACCCTATCTAATAATTGCATCCATTATAACCTGGTGTTTTTTAAAGATGATATTGATGGCTGAAATTAGTAGCTATGTAGTTATGGCATTGTTGCCTCAACAGAATTGTTTTAAACGCGTTTATCAAACCCTGCAGACTGTTGTTTTAATGGAGAAAGAGGGAATGATGGCAGGGCAGAGAACGAATACTTTAGAATATTTTCAGTGATGCACCACAAAATGGATAAAGAGCTCCATTCAACCAGGCCAATTCCAGATGGCTATTTCAAGCCAGAGGAAGGTTGCTGTGAATCATCAAGCTGGTGTTCTCTTTCTACAGATAACTGAACAGAATGTCCTTCTACCCAAAGGGGACCAGAAGCTAACAAATAATTCAAAGAGAGTAGCTCAAGAATATGACCTAATCTGTGTTCTCAAATGAACCTTCCTATGAACTCCTTTGTCTTTAATCGTTCATCCCCCCACACTCCCAAATTCACTTATGGGTGTCTTTCCAGTCTGAACTCCCAGCACTGGAGGACCTCCTTCTGCTAGCTTTCAAATGCCAAACCTGTGCACCCTATGAAACAGCCTTGCTTTAAATAGCCAATTCCACCATCGTTGCCTCTCTAACAGCCCAGGGAATTTTACAAATCAGCCATTTCTTAGAGGCTGTTCCTTTTTCACATGGCAAAAGAACATCTCTTGTCGGCCATCACCAACAAGAATTAGGTGAATGTGGTAACTCACCTAATGGACATATTAAGTGTTATCTCAGAGTAAATTGGTACATTAGACCAGATATCTTCAACTTGGGTTGCTCAATCAACAGGGGCCACAATGAGCATTGAAACAAGCTTGAAGGCCCATGGCGGTCCAGTTGGAGGAAGTTTATGAACTTTCTGCCTGGTTCACCTTCTTCTATGACTGTAGAGAGTCTGAAATTAAAAACCAGACTAAAGCAACCCCCTTGTTTTCTTGGGCAACTCTAAGATTTTGCCTTCCTTTCAGCAGACAGCAGAACCATCAATCTTCTTGCATTTGTTCACCCAACACACCCTTGCTGATCCCAACCTCATATCCCAATCCTCTTTACAAGGGTATCATGTGAACAAGGCTTTGAGATGCCATTTACACAATTCTAAGAAGGAGAATAATACATGTACTTATTTATGACCTAAGGTTGTTGCCAAGTTACAAATTTATTATCTTCCATATATTTAAGCTGAAACAATATAAACATCAGGATGAAAAAAGAAGCACGATCAAAAGCACCTAAAAGTCAGTAAGAACACTCAACTTGCAGCATCCCTTAATTAATTAATTAATTAATTAAAATTGAGATGTCTCCTGAATTTTGTTCAAAGATACAGACATACAGAAAGCTTTTTTACCTGACTCCTGACACTTTTCAGCCTAAGGCAAACAACATGCATTTTCCAGGTTGGGATGAGAGTTACAAGTAGCATTCATAAGGACCCTAGGCTAGTTTACAGACCGTAGACCAGGGTAGGTGGCCAGCTGGCGTCCTATCTCCAAGATAGGCGTTCAGAAGCTTCATTTGGCCAACTGCCACTTCCTAGTTTCTACCACCTGAAGCAGGTATCTCACCCTAACAGTAGGCCCCCTCCCATGATCAAAAGAAACAAAGAAGGGGCTGAAAGAAATTCTATGGGATGACTCCCTCATACTTGGCGTGTCAACATCAAAAGCTGCCCTTCCCTAGTAGCACTCTGGTTTATTCTTTCCCTACAGACTTTGATCAGAAAAAAGAAGGGATACCAAAATGACCTTCTGTTCTAACTGAAAATCAGAGAGGGATTTTCATTTGGGTCCAAACTGGTCCCACTGAAGGTGTACAATTTCATCAGCTATTTCATCTTGTTGGAAAGTCAAGAGCGTTAGTTGTCCAGGTCCTGCATCTTTTGAAGCTTACAGACAAGAGGAAAGCCACTTTTTATAGATTCTGCGCAAAGGTAATTCCAGAATGCATTTCATGAGGCAAGCACACCGATTAGGCTCTGCCTTATTTCCAAAAGCTTAACTGGATAGAACACCAAGAATGCTGGCCTGGGTCTCAAAATTAAGCTATTTGTATCCAAAGCAAAGGAGATGGGCAGGATTTTGCAGATTTAAGGAAGAAAATGTTAAAAGCCAGAAGTTCCTTGCATTTGTGTTTTTTTCAACTGGGTCTGGTCTACTGCTGTTTGGACAAGGCACCCAAGGTGCACCAAAACCACCACAGCCAGGACTGATGGAAGCTTGCACACTAAAGAGACCATTGGGACACAACTGTCAGGGTTAACAGGGTGGGTATGTATGGCATGGCCCGCATGAAGGAGAAAATCCTGCTGAACTGAGGATTCCCACATGGGATCCCAAAGGTCATCTAGATAGTTACATGCCTTGTTCTGAGGGTCTTCATTATCCTATTAGTTCTACTGCGACCACTGACTCTTTTCTAATGTAGAAATTGTTTAATTCCCTAAAATAATGTAACTGTCTGGACCAGGAATGGGGAGGTATTTATTTATTTATTCCTGCAGTTTGTATGGCCGCCCATCACAGCAAGTGACTCTGGCCGGTGAACAACCTTAAAATAAACTTTAAAAAAATTCTCATCAAAGATACAAAATTAAAATACACATCAGTTGGGGAAGATATCACTATGAATGGTTGTTAACACAAGCAGGAGATGGGACCCTCTACACTCTTGGGGCCCCAGGCCTGGGCACAGAAGCAGGTCTTTAGTGCCTTGTGAAAGGCCAACAGGATTGGGGCCATCCTAATCTCTGGAGAGAGATTATTCCCAGGCTTGGACTCTGAGGCCTCCTCAGAGTTGTCCTACATGTTCCTCCCCAGTCCCTCTTCTGTAGCTCCTCCTGCTGCTAGAATATGACCTGGGAAGATATATCTACTCCTGTCATCCTTTAATTGACAGACCCACCACCCAAACATCATATACTGTAGACCACCATTCTTGGAGCAACAGGTGGAGCGTACATCTGAAAAACAATTTTGTCTTCTCCCCATTTCAATTTAAACCCTTAGAATAAAGACAAGCAGTTCAAAACAGAAGAAACTGCAAAGCATCTCCTTAATGTTTAATGTCAGTTTCTTAGGGCATCAAATAGAGAGCATTTTTGGCTAAAGAGATGGCTGGGAGTAACACACATGTGAAATGTTAAGGTGCCTCTCAACTTTGGGGCCTCTTTTAGGAGGGATGGTGGGTCTTGATTTCATCTGCTTTCGATTCCCAGGAGTGCCTAGGAGGAAGTCGCTTGCATTTCAAGCAACAGTTAAAGAAAACAAAAATAAAACAAACAGAACCTATTTCTCTTGGCCTATTCCCCACCATTTTTTTTTTTTTTTTTTTAAAAGAACCACTTCTCTGTTATCATCCAATTTGCAACTGGCCTCACAAAATAAGCCACAGAGAAAGCAGTAGATGAAGCTTGCTGCTTTCCGCTAAAGACAGACCCAGGGATTGAGAAGACATATTTTGGACTAGGGGACCAAACGGCTCTGGCCAAAACAAGCAAGAGCAGAGGAGGGAGATGGGAAAATGCACACAAGTTTAGAAAGGAAATTATTTTTAACACTGTTGAGTAATGCACATCCACCCGTGATGTCTTGCTTCCTTCAATCAAAGTCAGAAAATGCCATTTGTTTATGCCTGGGAGATTGTGGTATTTTAGAATTTACTCCAGCATCTAAATATGGTAAGAAATGGAATGCTACAGTGAAATAACACCCCATGAGAAAGTGTGTAACTATATATACATATATATAGGTGTGAGCAAATATTTTTGACCTCAACCCATTAACCTCATCTAACCTTCTCATCATACTTTCTCCATTCAAAAGAAAGGGGAGGAAAAGTGAGCTTCTAAGACTTGCCCTGAGAACTGTATGTGGCCAAGCCATTGCAAGTCACCTTCTGGCACAGCAAAAATGATACTAAGTCCTTTGTCTTCCCAAGAACCAGAACACAGACCCGCTGAAACCATTTAACACTTAATTCAAGATAAACACAACATACAAGGGAAAGGGCTGATTTGCACAATTCAAGATAACAGAATGAACCTCACTGACATAAGATACTAAGAGCCAAAATGAAAATGATGTTGCATCTTGGAAGCTGCTGGACCCATCCCCTCCTTTCAACAAAAAGGCATCTTTTCTGTTTGTTTTTCTTGAAAGCAAAAAAAAAATGGGTTTACACAAGATGCATAATTCAGCTTAACAAAGGACAATGTCTGTACTCAAATAACATGCTATGCCCAGATAAACCATAGGATTGCTTAAGCTGATGGCCTGATCTGCACAACACGCTAAAGTTCCTATAACATACTAAATTTCAAACTATTCAACCCCATTTTAATGTAGTCAAGCTTGTTGTTGGAAAACCAGACATCACATCTAGTTTACATTTACACAACAACTGTATTGCAACATCTACCCCCAAATGTTGGGAAATTCTATTCAAACATACCACAAGTACCATCGGACAGGATTTGGGGTATGGTGATGACCCCAAAAAAGGGGGGGGGAAGTCCCAGAGTTGTAGGTCCCCAGCTCTAGCCCCTGTTGCTGCATTAGTGGATGTGTGCACTGGGCAAGATCCCTTTCATCTCTTCCATTCTATGAAACCTATGACCCTGTGAACAAAGGGTTGACACTGCTAAATGGAGAGCAGCAAGAAATCACATTTCAGCCATCATTGAGATGACCTCCTCAAGGATACTGTGCACCCAAATTTTAGCTGTTACTCCTGATTCAAGAACCTCTAAATGATGGACTTCTGAAAGTTTTTTCCCCCCAAATCTAGAACAATGTGATCATGGCAATGCAGCCTCAGAGAGCCTTACTATGAACTTCAGAACCAGGCTAGGCCATGAAAGGATGCAAGGGATGGCACCCTTCTCAAGCAAAGAGGCACAAGACGACTTGTGGAAATAGTAAATGTCCTATTTTCCAGCTCTACAACCAGGAGAGGTACATCTCCAAAGCCAAGAGAAGAAACAACTGAGACATGGAAGGCCATGCACTAAAAGCAGAGTAAGGAAGCAGAAGCACCACCTTTGAGGAATGACGATGTAACTCTCTCCCTGGCTCAGTTTCCCAATTTAAACTATTTCCTCCCCAAAGTTGTTCATACACAGTAGTTGTTCCCACATTTATGGGAAAATGGTGGTGGAGAAAGATTAAACCCCCAACTCCCTGGATGTTCCTGTTCCAATCTAATTGAATCCCCATAGCATCAGAACATCCAGTCCTAAGATATCTGGCCCACCCCATAGAGGAGCAGTCCTAAAAAGAGGGCTAGGCTAAACCATCTTTGTTTATTTCTTATGGAGATTGCTACCCCTGCTGTCCAAATTAAATCTCCAGGGTGACTCACTTTAGTGCATTTCTTGATGCAAGCCACAGCATGAGACAAGCAAAGAATAAGCTTGCAGATAAAGATGTAAACAAGCCAACAATAAAAATAACCCACAAGTAAACAAATAGCAAATTCCGTCCCTTAACTGATCGTCCTCATATAGCTGAAACGGTGCTGTTTTCATGCAAAATGAAAATACTGAGAGATTTGGGGAAATTCCAACATTTGGAGAAAAACAAACCATCTTTAAAAGAGAAGTGTCTGATGCAGGGAAAGTGAGAAACCTGGTTGAGTTCATATAGCAGTTGAGGTAATACCTTGACTGCATTCACACACCCTGGTTCACCATATTTGGCTTGTTTGCAGCTTAGCACCACCATCTGTTAGAATGGTTTAATATAATGTGGGTTAGTTCAGTAACACTGGTTCAGTAGTGAAGGCATTGGATTAACACTAGGGAGAATCATAATCCAAGTTCATCCTCAACTATGGTAGCTTACTGGCTAAGGCCAGACATTGGTTGAGTATGTGTGTGATAAACAACTCCACCATCTTTTTCCCTGGTTCCCCAGGGACTGGAGACGTGACAGAGTGTTTTGGAAAGGGGCAAGGCTGGCCGGTTGGAAAATCAGCATGCGCCCATTTCAATTACAGTTCAGAACAAGTGAACAAATAATTGTTCTGGCCATTCCTTTTTGCTTACAGCACTTACGTGTCCACAAATTTCCGGCTGAGGTCCAAGATGAGGAATGAAGGACCTTTCTGAAAGGGAGGATCCCGAGATACTTTGTACTGGATGGGCTGGCAATTTGTACACTGGGTGCTCTGTGGGACTGAACTGATCATAGCAGCATCGATCTCCAGTTGCTCATCCAGGGTGTAAATCTGTATGCCGTAGACTTCCTCATTCATCTTCTCAACATCCAGTCGGATGGTCATGGGGACATCACAGAAGAAGTTCTGAGGCCCAAGTGAAATATTTTGTCCGTTGACCATCAACAATTTGATATCATTTACTGCTTCTTTGGAATCCCACTCGGGGGAAACGTAAGTCACCCAGATGGTCAGAGAATCTGGGATCACTGGATACTGGAACTCAAGCTCAAGATAGCATCCTTGAGGTTCGGGACATGCTGGTGGGACAGTTTGCTTGATGACAGCCGAGTTGGGAGTCCATGTCCGAACATCGGGTTTACATGGCTGTTCTACGTCTGGGTGCCCTTGAATACAGAAGAACAAAAAGGCAGAGAGGAATCCATCTTGCATTAAACCTAGCAAAACTAGGAACTCCAGAGAATCTGTAAGGCCTTGCACTAACCATCCATATAAATGAAGGCAAACTATCTTCACTGACTATAACATGACTTCAAATTAAAGGGTACCCCAAACACACAGCTGGGATGTAGAATGAGATAACATTCCTCCACATACTTACTATTTTGTTTACTTTAAGAACTGTAAGTCATCCTCTAGCAAATGGTTTCAAGACAAAATACAAGACCAACAGGAAGCAGACTGATCTCTACCCATAGTCCCCAGGCCATCAAACCAACATAAGGAAATGATAGGCAGAAAACAGCCATTTACTACAAGCAACATAGTCTCAGGTAGACCAAAAGTTGCTCTAAACTGAGGGCTTTTATGCTAAGTTAACTTGGAATTTTTTTACTTGTGAGGAAGACCATTGTAAAAACACACTAAACACCCTGCTGGATTAGGGCTACCACATCTGCAGAAGTCCACCAAAAGTGTTTGTATCTCTTTGTTGCCATCTAGTGGTCAACCAGATTCTTACAGCCCAGATACACTAGTCCTATAGGGGGTCCAAAATCCAAAACCCATTCCCTGCCTCCAAAACTAGTCCAAAATCCAAAACCCATTCCCTGCCTCCAAGAAGTCCATGAGTGGGTTAAACCGATACAATTCCTTCTCATTCTCCAAGACAAACCACCTTTAAACCTGTAGGATCTATTTAGCCATTACACCTAGAAGCTCAGCTTCTTCTGGACAACTCTGAATTGACTACCCATACATTTTCAGAGATCACCTAAAATCTAGTTATAACAGAAAATGGAGAAAAGTATATTTCTGCTCACCCTCTGAAGACACAGGCATTATTCTATCAAGCACAACATACCCTCCCTTTTTCAATCATTTCCCCCAACAAACCCAAAAAGTCAAGGAAAAAAAGAAGCAACAGAGATAAAAAGCTGGACAAGGTCATCAAGGATGGCAACAAACTGATAAAAGCAGATGAAAATGAAACAAATGTAAAAGGATATGATCAAGAAGAACAACAGCAACAGTGTCTCTGCCTCGGTTGCAAACCCAGTAAGGTTGAGTAATAGAGAGAAGAGGTAACTTTACACCTGTAACAGGTTTAGCCCAATCAAGGGATTTATTCACACATAAAGAGACATGCTGTCCTGATCCATTCAGCCTATGATCTTCCAGTGTTGAGTAAGACCTGAAGTGGGATTTCAACCAGCACTCAT